GGCTGAGGCAGGAGAAACGCTTTAACCCAGGAGGTGGAGGCTGCAGTGAGCCAAGATTGTGCCACTGAACTCCAGCCTGGGTGACAGAGCGAGACTCTGTCTCAAAATAAGTAAGTAAATAAACAAACAAAATAAAAAAAAATTTTATTTATAAATAAACAAACAAAGAACATGTGAAAAAGAACCCAAAAATAAAACCCGAAACCAAACCAAACCAAAAAGAAAACCTTCTAAAGACAAAGTAGACAGTCAATGAGTTTTAACAACTGGAAATATTTCTTACTGGCTGCAAGGGCTGAGGCTGCCCTGGTGCAACTATTGTAGTCACTGCTGCGGCTGGCTGTACCACTACTCCTTGTGGATGAGCTGTGAAAATCTGTTGCCCCTGGATATACTGAAGACTTGGCTGGGCATAACTCTAAAAGATAAAATGAAGAAATCAATAATTTAAACTTTTGTCACTTTAATAAACAGACTGACTTCCAAGATGGCACAATCTTAAAGATATACCCATAACATTTTTAAATTTTTTAAATATATATTTGGACATAAATGTGTAAAACAATTTTTTTGTTTCAAACACCAAGGTTTCTGTTTTGACTAATTCCCTATTCATTTACTTAGATTTTACTTTATCATAAGAAAATAAAAAACTTTTTTTTTCTTTTTATTGTTCATAGAAAGTCTCCAATTGTTTAGCTTTCAATGACATTGGAATGACATTGAAAATTAAACAGACAGTTTCTATAAGCAAAAAACAATGAAGTGTTGCTCCTGGGACATACAAGAAACAATGCCACACTGCTCTGAAGGAAGTCTTTTGCTACCAACTTGTAATAACAGGTTGTTTGGACCAGAAAAGGTCAAAGGGTGTGAATCATTGTAAATAAGATGATCAAATTTTAAGCTACCTTTTGTGTTAGCTTTTTGTAGTCTTCTATAATAAAACTCCTTGGCAGAAAGACAGCAGAATCAATGCATCTGAAATTCTCACCACACACTAACTTATACAGTGTTCTATAATACAAGAAGCCCCTTAACATACATCATCTCATTTAGTGCTGACCACCATCAAAACCAGGTACTGCCTATACCTGGAGTTTCATAAGAAATAAGTACTATACTAGGGCTTATACCTACTCTGTAATTATTTCTCAAGCATAGAAAATCTGCTTAAAGAAGAAGAGGTGGCTAACCCGGTGAAACCTCATCTCTACTAAAAAATACAAAAAAAACTAGCCGGGCGAGGTGGCGGGCGCCTGTAGTCCCAGCTACTCGGGAGGCTGAGGCAGGAGAATGGCGTAAACCAGGAAGGCGGAGCTTGCAGTGAGCTGAGATTCGGCCACTGCACTCCAGCCTGGGCGACAGAGCGAGACTCCGTCTCAAAAAAAAAAGAAGAAGAGGTGACAAGAAGACTGAAAAATAGCCTCGCTGTCCTAAGAGGTGGTGACTGCTAAGGAATTGAATAGGCATGTATCCTGTACTTAAGGAGAGATTTTGCTCCTATGGACTGAGATTCTAGCAGGTAAAATGATTCTGAAACATTAAATGGTAAGTACTCAAAATATAAAATATAACTCCAAATGATACCAGTAAAAACTCAAGTAGTCTGAACAGGCAATGCAGCTACCTAGCAGGTTTCTGGATGAGTAATTACTGACAGGACACAGGAAAAAGGAAAAGAATACCTCATCTGGTATTCTGGATCAGCTTAATCTACTCAGATAATAAACCAGACTGAAAAACGTTAATTGTTAAGGCAGAATTATCATCAGAATAGTATCACAAAGCCTGAGAGGAAAATGTACAGTCATGTACTGCTTAACAAGGGGGTACTTTCTGAGAAATGCATTGTTAGGAGATTTCATTGTTGTGGTAACATCATAAAATGTACTTTCACAAACCTACTAAGTGTATAAGGTACTTACATATCATACAGTGTACTTCACAAATCTATTAGATACCTGAGCTTATATGGTATAGCCTGTTGTTCCTAGGCTACAAACCTGTACAGCATGTTTCTGTAATAAAGACTTGTAAGCAATTATAACGTAACAGTATCTATGTGTCTAAACACATTTAAACATGGAAAAGGTACAGTAAAAATACAGTATAAAAATTTTTTAAGCCGGGCACAGGGGCTTACGCCTGTAATCCCAGCACTTTGGGAGGCCAAGGTGGGCAGATCACGAGGTCAGGAGATCGAGACCAGCCTGGCTAACACGGTGAAATCCCGTCTCTACCAAAAATACAAAAAATTAGCCAGGCATGGTGGCAGGTGCCTGTAGTCCCAGCTCCTCAGGAGGCTGAGGCAGAAGAATCACTTGAACCCGGGGGGCAGAGGTTGCAGTGAACCAAGATGGCGCCATTGCACTCCAGCCTGGATGACAAAGCGAGACTCCATCTCAAAAAAAAAAAAAAAATTTAAATGTACACCTGTATAGGACACTAACCATAAACAAAGCTTGCAGGACTGGAAGTTGCTTTGAGTAAGTGAGTGGTGAGTGAGTGAATACGAAGACCTAGGACATTACCGTACACTACTGTAGACTATAAACACTGGGCTATATAAAGTTAGGTTACACTAAGTTTATTTATAAAACGTTTTTCTTTCTTAATAAATTAACTATAACTTATTATAACTATTTTACTTTATAAACTTAAATTTTTTCAACTTTTTAATTCTTTTGTAACACTTATCTTAAAATACAAACACATTCTACAGCTATATAAACAACCCTCTTCCCTGGTTCATGCAATTCTAGAAGGAATCTTGCTCTGTCGCCAGGCTGGAATGCAGTGGTGCAATCTTGGCTCACTGCAACCTCCACCTCCTGGGTTCAAGCGATTCTCCTGCCTCAGCCTCCTGAGTACCTGGGACTACAGGTGCATGCCACCACGCTCAACTAATTTTTTGTATTTTAATAGAGACGGGGTTTCACCATGTTGGCCAGGATGGTCTCGATCTCCTGACCTTGTGATCCGCCCACCTTGGCCTCCCAAAGTGCTGGGATTACAGGTGTGAGCCGCCACGCCTGGCCTATATATTTTTTTAAATAGAGTCTCGTTCTGTCACCCAGGCTGGAACGCAGTAGTGTGATCATAGCTTACTGTAGCCTTGAACTCCTGGACTGAAGCAATCCTCCCAT